TATAAATAACTTAAAATATTCCCCATTAAATACAACATGCTTTGGTAGAAATGCAGGTTTGTTATTCAAGAATGCCTGCCTGAACTATTCCTAAACTTGCAGAAATTTCTTCAGTGATTCATTCATCCTCTCGATTTACTTAAACTCTTACTTTTAAGGCAGCAGTCCCCAACCTTTTTGGCACCAGGGACCAGTTTCATGGAAGACAATTTTTCCATGGACGTGGGACGGGGGATGAGCTCTGAGGCCCCGTCCCTAACAGACTGTGGCCTGGGGGTTGGGGACCGCAGTTTTAAAGGGTTCATATACTTAAAACAAGCAGTCATTTCTGATAGAAACCATGACATTTCCAAATTGTGTATAATCTCTACGTAATCTCTACAACTAGCATATCTAGGATATTTTGAAAGAGAAAGATGAGGACCCCACACAAGAGGTGTAAGTCTAGTCTGTTCACACAGCTGTAGGGAAAGAGACATAAATTTCTTGATCGACATATTGGTTTCCCTCATTTTACTGCACTGCCAACAAAAATGGTGGTATTGTTTTTATTTTTCCAGCCAGCTAGTAGTCATTTCTTCCAGGCTCCCTCATTCTGTCTTTTCTCTAATAAAAGTAATAGATATGTTCCACATCTACGAAAGGAGTGGAAGGTACCAGATAAGCTCTAACAGCCCATGACATTTCTAACCTGTCTATGGGAAATAATCACATGTAAACTAGATTGGTTTAGAAATACCTCCTGTTGTATGCCTTTGTTTCACCAGTGACAAGATACAACATCTTAAAAATCCCCCCAAATTGAAAGCTTTTATAAATTTAATCAACTATAAATTAAACTAAATAAGAAAAAGCAACAGGAAATCATGTGCACAGCCATAGTTTGATTCCAACCTAGCCACTGCAACTACATTATCTCAAAGCCTAACAACTGCTCTGAAATGCTATGTTGTAGCAACATGCCAATCTGCTATGAAAATTTTCTTGAATCTGGAATATGCAAAAAAGTAAATTTACAAACACAATCCACTTTAGCATAGCATTTATTACATTTTAGGAGATCTGAACAAACAAAAAATAGTTTCCCATAATGACATACTAAGAATGGGAATATATATGATATCTGCATTTGCATTTACTATTTATTAATATCTGCATCCAAAAACATTACTTATGTGAGCTAAAAATTAAGTATTTTTATTTTGTAGCTCTAGCAAAGCCACCTACGTTGTTAAAGTCTAGTGCTTTTAGGCCTTTTTTTTAACCCTAAATGAATAACGAAAATTTTTTTAAAAAGGAAAGAAAAGAATAATGTGTGCTTTAAGTTGAACATATAACTCAAATGGAGAAAATAAACAAGTAATCATTTTCAAAGATAATTTTTACTTTTGAAAATCACAGAATAACACTTAGCGATTAAAAAGCAAGTAAACAAACAAACCCTAGCACAAACAGCCTTAGCAAGATGAAGCACCTACCCAAACAAAGTTTTTACATTAA